AACAGAATGCTTAGCAAATTATTTGTCCCTCACGCTATCAAAGCATGAGAAAGGGAAGAACATTCAACTTAGAATATCTAAACATATCTCATAATATCATTATTGAATTTTAGAATACTTTTAAAACATCTTAGATGATCTCTGAGTAGTGTTTCTATATTTCATGATTTGTTTCCATAATTGAAATTAAGAGTCTACTATTAGTATGCATACAGATTAGTGTTTTGTCTTTTGTATTACATCACATCAAGTCATCAATATACATAACCTAATATTATTCATTATCCTTTTTATTCTCTCTTTTCCTCCTCCTCAACTTAAAACCCTAAAACTTCAATAGTTCCAAACAGCAATGTTATCTCCTTCTAGTTATTGACCACAGGCTACAACAACAGAAGAAGAAAATTATAGACTTAGTTTCTCAGTATCTGCGGAAAAGGATAATTCTCCTCATTACCACCAGCAGCTTCCCATGACTACCACTCCTTGTACACCAAAAGTACCATCAATGCATTATATTGCACATCGTAACTAGTTGTAGTTGTACAATAATAATTTTCCTCCTATTCATAAAAATGAATCTTTGTTCATCATGTCCTCTTATAAATATCTATAAATCAGAAGATAAATTTAGTTTTTACAAAAGAGTGACACACAATACCAGCTAGTTCAGTTATGAACATATACTTCTTAGCTAGCAATGCGACTTGCCAATGACCCAGATCTACTCCAATTTCAAGTCTTACATCAATTTAAGATGACTGATGCTCAAACAAATTACAAAAAAGATAAAACTTGGGAAATTCTCAACATCTGTTGATTCAGCCATGAAAACTGAAACAACAAATGAAAATTTTTCAAACTCAAAAGAGATAATTACAAAACAAGGACCATTAATCGAACTCTAGGTAATGGCAGGGTACATCACCTTGAGTCAAGGTCCTTGACAACCCTGCCACAGCAGAGACACCATTCAATCATTCATGTCCTTTCCAAACACAACACATTTCAAATTTCTAGACAAACCTTTCAACTCCAAAAGACCCCCACCATCATTGCCAAATCAAGCATATCAAAATGTAGTTTGTGAAGAAAACTAGCATTCAAATTTAGATTTCCACCTAATCTAATGAAACTAGTGAAACTTTTCAACCAGAAACCTACCTGATTCGGAGGCGTAGATGTTTCAAACAACAAAGCATCAGGCTTGTCGGCAAGAACCGGCGATTTGGTCCACAAACAGCTCAACCCACATCGACAAGTGTACAAGTTATCCAAATTATCAGGAATCCAAGTCCACCCTTTGACCAAAACGCTAACATGGTTCATCGTGAAGCCCCCACAAGCCGAATCACCCCCAACCTCTTCCAAAGAAGCAACCTTTGACTGATTGAAGCCCACCCCATTTGTTTTCTCCTTGAACCGAGCACAACCCACTTGCGAGTCCCATTTCCTGACGGCACCCACCAGATCGGTGAAGGGTTCTGCGGCGGTTCCGGTCCCTATAATCATGGGGCGGTCGATGGGTCGCGGGAAGGGCGAAACGGATGGGAAGCGGAGGAAACCGGAGAAGAAGAGTAGGATGAAGGTGAAGGCAAGCATGATTGTGATGGTGAAGGTGTTGATAGGTTTGGGAGGCACTGGCATAGTGGAGCAAGATGAAGAAGGGGGGATAGGGTTCTATCTCTCTCTCTCCCTTATAGAGAGAGAAAGTAGAGAGGTAAAACATGACAATGGAGTGCGATGACCAAGTGACAAAACCAGTTAGTTGGTCCCCTTCATCCTCAGTCTTACGTTTCTTTGAATCAGTTTGGTGGATTTCCGGAGTTAGCAATAGGTAGAATACTTTTCAAATGGGTTTCTTTCTTTTCTCTTTTCTCTTTTCTTTTTTTCTTTTTTTCTTTTTTCAAATGGGTTTCTTAACCTTAACTGGGGTTGAGATTATTCAAGGAGAGGTTATTTGGATAAAGTATGTGAGTATATAAGTGTAAAATAAAATAAAATGATATTTACCTCATTTAATCCACCCAACTATTAAGTTTAAGTTTAAATTATTATACTTACTAAAATGATATTTACCTCATTTAATGCATCCCAACTATTAAGTTTAAGTTTAAGTTTAAATTATTATAATTACTATTTTTTTTTAAGTTTATTTAAAATGATTACATTTGAATATTTTTTTCTTTTTGGTAAAAGATTACATTTGAATATTTTTTTTTTTTTTTTGATAACATGAATATTTAAATACAAATGAAATGAACGGATCTGAATATGGATCAACTTTTATTTAGCTTTAACCCACACCAGGCCAGCCCAAATTCATAACCATGGGAAGAGTGCACCGATAGTCTTCAAAAAAAAAACTTGCTATAAAACAAGTAGTTGGGTTATTTATGCCTGTTTTCTGGGCCTGTTTTCTGTTTCATAAAATAACTTGTTAATTTACAAACAAAATAAAATAAAATTGTTTGATAATGAGTGTTTTGTAAAAATAACTGTGAGAATAGCATTTGATTTCTAGATTTTAGAACAGCAATTAGAGAACATTGCTAAGATATTTTGGTCTGATTTTAATTTTCTATTCTCAAAATAATAATTCTATAATATAGCTAGAACAGTGAAATACGCGAAAAAATTCTCAATTCTTCGGCTTGTTTCGTTGTTTCTATTTGTTTGCTTTTATAGGCCCATTTATCTCTTCACTGCAAATCGGTATCCCAAACAAAACACTGAGGTTAGCAGTAGAGTCTTCGAAATTTCTTTGCTTTGTTTAATCGACGTTAAAGCTTCCATAATAATGAATAATGATGTCTTATTATGCAGGTTGTGTTTCTTCAGTACATTCGTGAACGGTTGTGTTTCTTCAATACATTTTTGGTAGCAGTACCGTCTTCAAAAAAAATAAAAATTCACAGCAACAAATTTGATACTGAGATAAGATAAGTAGGTAATCAATTATCATTTGAAATAAAACTTTGTCAGTAGGTACATTTTTTAAAAAACCTTGAGTAGGTACTAGGTAGCTTTAGCCAGGTAAGTAGGTACCAAGACTGTTTAAACCTATTTTTTTTAGTTTATTTATGTATTAATAGAATAATAGCTATAATTGCTTACAAAAAAAGAAAGAATAATAGCTATAATTTACTAAAAAAATGAATAGTAGCATTATTCTTGTTTAAACTTTTATTTATGTACTAAAAATAAAAAAAGTTAAACACCTTAGATTGCGCTTCAGACATGTTTAAAGATAATACAAGTAGAGCACTACATGTTAAATAATTGAGCCATGAATTTTTTTATTTTATTTTAATTTAGTTAGAATGTGAAATAGACAATTTTAGAGAGAGAAAATAATTTTTAGTGAGAGAAAATAATTTTTTAAATAGCTAATAATTAGATAATTAAAGAATAATTAGATATTTAGATAATATTTAGATATATTCTAACACAAGCATGTGTAATATCTAGATATTTAGATAATAATTAGATATTGACATGTGTAATTACATAATTAGATAATATCTAGATAATTACATAATAATTAGATAATAATTATTTCTAATTAGATAATATTTACATTTTTTCTAACCAAGCATGTGTAGTGTTTAGAGATTTAGATAATAATTAGATATTTGACATGTGTAATTAGATAATTTAAATAATATGTAGAAAATTATCTAATTAGATAATATTTAGATAATTATTTAAATAGATAAAATTTAGATAATTATCTAATTAGATAGTTAGATAATTAGATAATAATTAAATATATGACATGTGTAATTAGATAATTAGATAATTACATAATAATTAGATAATTACATAATAATTACATAATTAGATAATATTTCGATTCATCATAAGACAAGCAAGTTTAATTAATTATATTTAGATATTTGACATAATAAGTAGTCATTGATGAGTAGTGTTTAGTTTCTTAATAATATAATTTAGAATAATTGATTTATGATTAATATTTAGGGTTTCTTTTAATTAGTGAATTGTTGTTATAATTTCTTAAATTAACTTTGTTGTGTTATCATTTTATAGTGTGTTAATAACATTATTTATATTATTATTATTGTTTAGGGATGGCATGCGATGATTCATTCGATGGACGTCTTCATCCTGGTCTTCGCGACAACTCTGTATTATTCATGCAATCTAGACACTATTTTGAGGTTGCCTAGATGGAGGAACCAAATTATAGGTCTCTGACAGTTAGATGTGCATGGTTGGCAGAGTCTATTGTACCTTATTTACGTCGTGCCTGTTTTCTTGGCGTTGCTCGAATAGGCTATATGAAGGTATTTTATATGCTATATATATAAAATTAATATAAAAAATTATCAAATTATTTAAATGATTTAATAGATTAATATTTTAATGTTTGCAAATTGATAGTTCATTAGCTACAACTCTAGTTGAGTGATGGAGACCGAAGACTCATACATTTCATATGGTTTCGGGAGAGGTTACTGTGACACTCGAGGATGTTGCAATGATCTCTGATCTTTCTACGGACGGTGACCTGTTACTGGCATGTCCGAAACACGAGATTTGACATGTTTGGTTCCACAACTTCTTTAAGAGGACCCCAGATGCATATGATTTGAGGGATGGTTCTCTTAAGACTTCATGGTTGGATCAACATTTTACAAATGTCAAGGATTGGATGCAGGAAGAAGAGGATCTTCTATGCTTCACGTGAGCATACATATAACGCCTAATTGGAGGCTTTTTACTTGCAGATCACAATGGTGGTAGGGTGCACCTCAATATCTACCTTTTCTTAGCGAATTGGATGCATGTGGACAATATAGCTAGGGATCGGCAATGACATTCCTTTTATCAAGAGTTCTGCATAGCCACTACACCTAATCGGATTAAAATATCAGGTGCAATGGCAGTGTTGAAGATGTGGGCTTGGGCTAGATTTCTGACCATTGCTCCAAAGATTATTCTGCCTCTCCCAGATTTTGACGATAGCACACCTGTTGGTGTAAGGTATGTTAAATCGACACGTTATGTTTGAGTATTATGTCTAATTTTGTGATATTTATCATACATATAAAATATTATGTGGATGGACCAGACTTCAGACAATTTTTCATTACCTATTTTGTATCGAGAGAGATTTGACAGGATGTCCAAACGAGAGGTAATTGCAAAGTGTTTACCACGTTTTTCTTTTCATGATTTATCTTGTTTTTTATTTTAATTTTGATTGTAACTTTTATAATTATTTTTGTGCAGATTATATGGACTCCATACGCAGATATTGCTTTGCCATATCTTATTCAGAAAATTAGTGATAGTTGGAGAGCATCACACCAATAATATGTTTTAAATTATAGAGTTTTATCAGCCTGACCGTGCTATGAGGCAATTTGGGATGTGTCAAGGTACACCTCAACCATGTTTACAGCCACAAGAGGTGCACCATCTCATATTGAGGGGAAAGATTGAGGTGCCAGGAACCATCGTTCCCCCCAACAATAATTTATTCTTGATCTCGGGGTTCCCAATTAATATAAGTATAGTGTGGACTAGCATTCCAGAATGGAAGATTACATTGACCTACACATACTAACACTCTATCACATTCAACTAACACATGAATATAACATGTAAAATAAAATAATCACAAGGTTAAATAACTAACCAGTTTGGATGACATTTTGAACATTGTTAATGTCCACTTCAGAATCATAGTCACTACCCTCAGGAGGAACTTCTTTGTATACATCTTCATCAAAAGTACCCAAATCAACATCCACATGAGATGCACCGTCTTTATCTTCCACAACTGTGTTCTACCAGTGATGTGATGGAGCATCAGAATATGGTAAATTTAGATCCAATGATTCAACTGGAAATGAAGAACTGCCTGCACAAGCAATGTTGGCATACAACTCAAGCATCATCATTCCAGACTATTGTTGAAGAGACTGTTGTTGAATCAGATTGAACATCATATCAACATTATCATCAAAAGCAATTTCTAGCACAACAAATTTTTCAATTGTTCGATACTAGCTGGTTAACCGAGACACCGATTGATTAGGACCGAGCTTCTGATTCTCCGCAATCTTTGATTTTAAATTATGCAATCCCACCCCCACATCGTATTTGTATTCCTTTAGTTTGCCCCTCAAATGTCTGTCCTGTAGCACCTTTATGTATTCTACCATTGTAGTATATGATTGCATACATTGACCCATATCTAGAAGAGAATAACAAAACCTTTAACAAGAAAGGTTGACTTTTTGACCATTATATTCTTATTAAATAAAAAATAAAAATTATTCATAAGTTAAACTAATTATTTTAATTATTCACTAATTAAAATAAACCCTAAAATATTATTCATAAATTAATTATTTTAAATTACTTTATTAAAATACTAAACACTACTCATTAACCACTAAACATCATTTTAAATATCTATATATTATTAATTAGACATGCCTATTTTAGGATAACGCAAGAGAATTAATTTAAAAAATTACAACAACAATTCCCTAATAAATTATACTCTAAAAATAAATCACGAATAAATTATTCTAAATTATATTATTAAATTACTAAACACTGCTAATTAACCAATAAGTATTATATAAAATCTCTATAGACATTAATTATACATGCCTATGTCAGGATAACATAGAAGAATTAATTTAAAAAATTATAAAAAGTTCACTAATTAAAAGAAACCTTAAATATTAGTCACAAATTATTTATATAAATTACATTGTTAAAATACTAAACACTACTCATCAAGGACTAATTATTATGTCAAATAT